GGGGGGGGGGAGTAGAAAGGCAAGGCAGTGACAACCTAAGTAGCTGAGGATATTTAAGTTGTTAAATAGTGATTCATCTATACTAGGGTAGAAAATATAGTGTAGAAAATTTTAGTGATATGTGCTTTCCATTCTCCCTTACACTGGCTAATCCACTCAGATATTTAATAAATTTAAGAATCAGGAATTATATAATAGATATTAAAATCTTCAACTCAGAGACACAAAAGTATAAACAGAAATGAAGTTTTCTCATCAATATTTTATTTTTCCCAAATATGAAATGCTTCACCATCTTGGTGTTTCTTCATTGGCCCTTTTCCACAGCACAGTATCTCTTATCTATTGTTCCAGTTTCTGTGATGTGTTTGGCATTTTATTCACACACTGAGCTGCTACCCTGAAAGTAAAGAAAACCTGGATCCAATTCATTAGGCAAAGTGTCAACCTTGATCTTCACTATAGACTTTACTTGGCCCTTAACAGAACAGGCTACTGTTTAAGAACTATTCTTTACTCTTACAGCTGAGTAAACAATGTTATATTTTACACATTTTGCCTTTGGCGCTCCTAGTCAGCCAATAATCAAATATGAAAATGTCAACCAGGTTGACATATGCTTGTTTTTAAACTCTAGAAAGATAATATTTGAACATGAATCAATCACCAGAACTATGTCAGTATTCACAAACAATATCAGGGGTGAACATAGACTATTCCTTTCCTATACCTTCATTTCTTCTCCACAATATACTAGCGCATGACTGACAAATGAGAGAGAGGCAATGAAACCTGTTTTGGCTTGTCCTCATAAGGAAAGGGCATTAACAGTTCAGAGAAATGTTTCTTTGCAATTTCTCCTCACAGAAAGCACTTTAATGTGGTTTAGAGATGGCTTTCTCAGTGTAAATTGAGACTCTCTTAAAATGAAATGTAAACACTTCCATTTATTTTTTCTTTATTTTATTTTTTCCATCACCATTTATCCTCCCCCATACACTCTTCCGCCTCTACCCTCCCGCCCCTGCAATCACCATACCACCCTGAATGTTCATTTGACATTTATTTTAAAAGCTATGTATCAAGGAAACTAGCTGTGCTCCTAAGAACAGCAACATCCATTTGTATGACACTTTACTATTTTCAAAGCATTTTTATATCTATTACTTCATTTTATCTTCACCACAGCCTTGTGAAGTAGACAAAGCAGGAATTGTTAGTCTCATACAAAGATGATAAAACTGAGGCTCCTAGTAGTTAGGTGACATGCTCAGGATCACCCAGCTTGTAAGTTTCAGTCAGGATTTGAATCTGACTCAAAGCCCATTGATCTTAAACATAGTACCATGTCTTACTGTCTATTATAGTCCTGCTATGGAGAAGCTATATCTCCTTTAGAATAAAGAATTCAAAAGACCATCAGATTGTGTTTCACCCATCAATATTAACTTAAAGTGTAGCTACTTTGATAGAAAATTGACCTTTACCTTATGAAAAATAAATAATATATATCTCCCATTCTGGGCCATGAACCCCCTCACAGAGATTAAGAATTATTTTAGAAACAAGATAATAGGTATTATTCCACCAGTATTCCCCTGAACTGTTTCTGGTGGTTATTGCTTTGAGTAATTTAGCTTGGTTATCTTCTGAGAAGTTAATTTTGAACACAGGACCATCATCTTCCTCTAACAAAAATATAATTAAATACTAAGTACTTTATCAAGAGACAACACAGTAAATATAATTTGGCTGACAGAAAAGAGTCCTGTAAGAGTAATTAAGGAAGGGAAAGACTTCCAACTCAGCTACCCAAGGTGTGAACTGACTTTATATCAGTCCCTTTTGCACAGTCATTTTTTATTTCCCATTTAAACATAAAAGGTAAGAATTAATATAAATATGAGTTTTAAAAGCTTCAAAAAACATATTCAAAAGGTAGAGATGTGAAATAAAAACCCAACCAGGCAGGAAGCATGGATCAGACTGGCAAATCTCAGAGGGAAGGTGGGAGTGAGTGGGTGGGTGGGGAGAGATTAACCAAAGAATTTATATGCATAACCTAAAGACACAGACAATGGTGTGGTGAGGGACTGGGGAAGGGAATGGAAGGGGTGGAAGGGGTCAATGGGGAGAAAAAGGGACATCTGTAATATTTTGAACAATAAAAAATAAAAATAAAAAAAATAAATTGAAGTTATGGATATAACATTAAACACACACACACACACACAAATAAACCAGGCAAAAACTCTTACAAACTGATATATAGAGTCTTTTCTATAAATTCAAAACAAAACAGACAAAAACCAATCAAATTTAGTTTGGGTACTTAGGTCAAGAGGGATCATTTCAAAAGAGAGCAAATTTCATGCAAATTTCACCAAGACCACCCCTCATATAAAAGCATCTCACTGGCTTACTTCTCCTTATCTTCATTCTTCAAACAAATACTGGAAGATTTACAACATTTCCTTACATCAAAATGAATAAAAAGCCTGGTCAGCATGTGTCAGTGGTTGAGCATGGACCTATGAACCAGGAGGTCATAGTTCGATTCCCAGTCAAGGCATATGCCTGGGTTGCAGGCTTGATACCCAGTGCAGGAGGCAGTCGATCAATGACTCTCTCTCATCATTGATGTTTCTCTCTCCCCTTCCCTTCTTCTCTCTGAAATCAATAAAAACATATTTTTTAATTATAAAAAAGAATAAAAGTCTCTACTAAGAGAAGAAAAAAATCTGTACCCTCTGAATTTGCCAAGTGTTTTCCAGCCTTAACTTTTTCCCTCTAAGCTAGAGTAGAATCAGATACTAATGTAAGGTCCACTTCAAGAATCACCTTTAACTTTCACTCAAGATCATTTAGAAACACTTCAAAACAATCCACCATGCCAAAACAATGATCAGCACAGGAAAAGAGGGAATAAAGAAAAGTCATTACCACAACTGCTCACTCCAAAACTGAAATTTTTTCTAAGCTTCTCTATAGAAGACAAAATGTTACATGCTGTGCACGCTATAGAACTTTAGAAAATTCATTTTAGTCTAGGGCTGCATTTTTTTAAATGGTGCCACATGGAGAATGAAATGTCCCAGCTAACTATAAAAATCTTTAACTAACTGTCTGCTTTTAAATTAGCCTGTCAAATACTGCCTGATTTTATTGTCTAAATAGTAATTTTACAGGATGTAATATATTAGCACATTGTACTTCAGTTATAAAAAAAAAAACACATAAACGCAGAAAATTTGTAGTAGCTTTAAAATCAGTTCATGGCTTATGGGCAGAACATTTTAAAATTCTACCTATGAGTTTTAACTTCCTACATTTATCATCATGACATTTTCAGCACACATATATGTCCAAGGAAATGACATATAAAATATACCAGAATAACCCACCTTGAGACAAGAGGATGAACCATATGATCTCAAAATTACCTCTAGTCAATGATTCATAATTTAGAAACTAATTTTAAAACTAAGACTTTGCGTACCAATTAAAGACTGAGTATACCCTTTTCACATTACCTTTTTCTAATTGTTACACTATATACTCTATTTACAGAGACCTGCACTTAAGCAAGAATCCATTTTAGGCTTTGTAAGCTGAAAGCCTATTTATAAGAGGCATGGTAATCAAAAGAAAGAACTGCCTTTTTTACAAATTTTACAAAATCTATTTTTTTAATTACACTTAGATATTTTAAACATATGAAAAATTACTAACTTATATAGAAAAACTAACCAAGTCTTATCACTTTCATCTCTTGTTTCTGTTTATTATTTCTTTTTTAGGGGGAATTGCCCAGTGTTCGCTCTAAGTTCCATGTCCTTTTTCTCCTCTTTGTGGCCTGCATGTTTTTTGTCAGCCTTGTGATTCTCTTTGGTTACCATTGTTGGCTTGTCAGCAGAAACAAAACCACCTTAGGTAAGATTCGATATTAAGACTACAAAAAACAAAATTAATGTATATCACAATGACCTGTGGATTGTTCCCAAGGAAAAGAAAAACTTCCAGTGAAACATTTTAGCTGCAGTGACGTTCCTTTGCTTCCAAACTGAGACAAATGTAAACAAGTTTTACCAAAGTGGAGAGCCATGGTTGATGAAGTTTACATAGGGAAAAGAACATTAACGAATGAAACCTCATGAAAAACCAAAAATGACCATTTTTCTTTAAAATTCATATTGGATAGTAACTCTCCAGATTTACAGCTTGAAATTTTTCTAAATAGTGTTCACATCGGGAAGTGAAAGAAAGAATCAGTACAGAAGGGAATACCAGAAGTTGGAGGTAAAGGTGAATAAAGATAGAAGAATCTAATTTATTGAGCACATCCAAAAATAGAGTCCTGAGAAAGAATTGAAGCCAAAAAAATCATTGAGTACCTACAATCATCAAGGAGCTGTGTAGGGACTATGGAAATGAGATAAACACATTGAACAAGTGAGTTTCTATAAAATGAATACAATAAATGAACTTTTTGTTTTCTGTCCATTACTCTATACTCTGGGCTGTTATTTGGAGAATTATATTTCTGATAAATTTTTTCATCTATGGTGAAAGAAATATTTACATTGTATGCAAACTGATTCATGACAAGTGAAGAGAAAATGTCAAAATATTGAATGTTTAGCTAAAATACATTTGAGGAAATTTATTACAAAGGCCACTATACCTTTTAAACTCATTCACTAATAACACTAAAAAGCATTTGCACTCATTTTCCAAACCAAATATTTATGTAGCACTTAGTTGCGAGGCTGGTAGATTAGCAAATTTGGCTTAGAGATGCTGCAAAGAAGAAAACAACTAAAAAATTCATGATAAAAGAGTCTGGAAACAAAGAACAAATAGGAAATAGCCAGATGCAGCCAGAGTCTATCAGTGACAGTATTTCCTTAATGGAGTAAATGTGTTTAAATATAATGTGCACTAATATGGTTCATTTCCTCTTAGTCTTTAAGGTGATTATAGTTCACCCATTCACATTTTTTTCTGGAGTAAAATTCAAGTTCTTACATTGTGGGCTTCAATGTGAACATCTTCATTTCTAAAATGTTTCAAAACCAAATCAATGTTATTACCATCTCTTTATGTGTTATTGCTTTGGTCCCAACTCTAAAGATGAGACCATTTGGCTGTTGTTGCCAATTAGATTCAAATAAAGTGCTATTAAATTTATCATTTTACCCCTTACATGAAACACAACAAAATATATACTGTGCCCATGGCTGCTTAATTCTTTCTACCATCATGTGTTTTTTCTGGTTTTTTAAAAAAGAGAGTACCAATTCTTTGTATTTAATAACAAACTTACTTTGTGTTAAGTGGTTAAAATAGTTTTTACTAAGTAATTAAGAATGAAGGGCCTATGCTACCACAGCAGAAAGGTATTATAGAATCAAGTTGCATTCATGGAGAACTGTAAAATCATGACAGTCCTGAAATTTTTTTCTTTTATTGCTTTCTGCCTCTTTTATTCAACTCCCCTACCATGCCTCAGAGGCCTTCTGTACTCCAGTGTTTACAAGTGGTCCAAAGAAAAATGGGTTCAACCTTGGCTTCATCAAAAATATCCAGCAGGTGTTTGGAGACAACAAGAAGTTCTGGTTAATACCTATTTGGTCCAGGTACGTAATTATTACCACTGAAAGTTGATGCTGGACCATACCTTGAAGTAGCAGATTCAATTTTTAATTGTAAGGTGCAGCAGGTATTACTTCAGTGTAAGAATCTGTTCCCTAAGTTTTTCATTTCTAAATTAACAAAGACAAATCAGTAGGTAAGGGTGTGATGAAATAGGCATTCTCATGTGTTTGTTTTTTTTGTGGTGTGTGTGGCAGTGTAAACTAGTACCACTCTTTTATAAATGAATTTAAAATCACAAGAATCTCTACAAAACCATTGTCCCAATAATTCCATTTCTTAGAATCTATTATAAAAACAGAGACAAACTAGACACAAAAATGTTTATCACAGCATTGTTTCCAGCCAACAATTAGGATACAATATAAAGTATTACTAAACTTTAAGTGAAAAAATGTAGAATTCAAAATGGTATGTATACTGTAATATCATTTCGGTGAGATGCGGTTCACTTGTGTTAATTTGAAAGGAGCCTGGATAGTGAAGAACACAGTTTTATTTTTTGATTTATTATAGAGTACTATAATATTTATTTAAAGCTGATATTAAAAAATAATTCTGTAAAATAAAAAAATACGTACAAATAAGACTTCCATTCAAGATAGAACAGAAGTAAATGCTATACTCTTCTCCTCCCTTGACCACATCAAAATTACAACCAAATTATACAAAAATCAACCTGGAAAGTCATCTGAAGACTAGCTGAATGGAACTCCTATAAATAAGGATATAAAGCAGAAGCCACATCAGAAGTGGTAGGAAGTATGGAGATGGGAAACCAGCTGGCCCCAGACCCATGTGTCATGATAAAGAATTAAGAGGGATATCTCAGCTGTGGAGGTTCACCCTGAGGAGCAGTAGGTTTAAGCCCCACACATGCACCCTTTCTCAGATCACTAGTACTGGGAAGTAAGTCCTCACCACATCTGGCTGTGAAAATCAGTGTGGATTCTGTCTGAGTTGTTGTAGACCCAAGCATCTTCTTAAAGGGCCTGAGCACAGACTCACTCAATCACAAAAACTTACCTTAAGCTTGAGTGAAGAGACAGCATCTCAAAAGGAACTAAGGGTATATGGAGAGAAACTGAATTGTGTGGCTTCAGGGCAAAGGCTGGAGGGGCAGCCACTGTTGTTTCTTTTTTGAGCCCTACTACCACACAGCCTTCAGGCACAGGATGATTCCACTGTTCCTGTGCTGAGCCCTCTCCCCACACAGCCTGAAGTTGCAGTCAGACGCCAAATCAGAATCTGCATTAACCTGGTGAATACCCTTGGCCTGATCCTGGTGTCTCCCTGAGACCCCACCCCATCCAACTCCAGCACCACCCTGGTCTCTTTCAGCACTTGCTTCTTACAGGCAGAAGGTCATGGCCCACGCTTCAGACTTTCCTAAAAGTTTTCAAAGGTCCACAGCCCCAAGCAGGCAACAGCTGACCTCTGTGTGACCTGTGTCTCTTGCTGAGTGGTCCAAGGCCTAGAAGTTGTGGCAGCTGGCCTAGGTTAGCAGCATGACATCTCTCATGTGATTCTGGGCGCAACACAGACGACTACCAACCATGCATCACTTTGTAGCTCCTAACAGATGGACCCAGGTAGAGGGAGCCCAAGTAGAGACTGAACTGGACCTGCACCAGAGTCCCTTGCAAGAAGCAGAGAACCAACACATCCAGTGACCAGGTTCAGACCACAAAAGAACACCACCAAATTAACTTCACAAATAACACACCCAAAGGATGGTCTTAGAAGTCACTAGGGCTTCAATGGAGGAAATTCTGCTCTGTGGGGGTCAGACCCCAAAAAAGCTCATACACTGTGATCCTGGCCAGCCCTCACAACCAGTCAGCCTGAGGGTCAACCACACCCACTGATGTGCCAGCAATAATCAAGGCTCAACTACAACAGGAGAGCACACACAACCCACACAAAAGACACTCCAGGAGTAACTGGCTCAAGAGACCAGAGAAACTGCACCACTGGACCCCACAGGACATATACTACAAAAGATCACTCTGCCAAGGCTGGGATATGCAGCAGATCTACCTAATACATAGAAACAAACAGAGAGGGAGCCAAAATGAGGAGACACAGGAACTAGTCCCAAATGCAAGAGCAGGAGAAATCTCCAGAACAAAGTGATATGGAGGCAAGCAATCTACCAGACACAGAGTTCAAAACACTGGTTATAATGATGCTTAAGGAACTAAGGCTAAGAATAATGATCTCAGTGAAAACATCAACAGAGGGGAAATATTTTGAAAAAACATAAAAACCATTACAAAAACAGTCAGAAATGAAGAATGCAATATCTGGAATAAAGATAAAAACAGAAGAAAGAATAGCAGATTAGGTGAAGCCAAGAATTAAATAAGTGATTTAGAGGACAAGGCAGTGGGAAACACCCAAATGACACAGCAAAAAGAAAAAAAAATTAACAGGGATACTTTAAGGGACCTCCAAAGCAATATCAAGAATACCAACATTTGCATCATAGGGATGTCTGAAAAAAATCGAGAGCAAGGTATTGAAAATCTATTTCAAGAAATAATGATGGGAGAACATATTTGCCAATGACACATCAGATAAGGGGTTAACTTCAAAAATAGACAAAGAATTCATACAACTGAACAAGAGAAAGACAAACAATCCATTTTAAAAATGGGCAAAGACCATGAATAGACACTTCAAAGAGAATATAAAGAGGGCCAACAGACATATGAAAATATGCTCAACATCACTAATCATCAGAGAGATGAAAATTAAAACCACAATGGCTACCATCAACAAATCATCAAATGACAAGTGCTGGCAAGGGTGTAGAGAAAGGGGAACTGTAGTGTCCTGCTGGTGGCAATGCAGACTGATACAGCCACTATGGAAAACAATATGGAGGTTCCTTAAAAATGAAAAAAATGGAACTGCCTTTTGATCTAGTTATCCCACTTCTAGGACTATATCCTAAGAATCCCAAAACACCAATCAGAAAAAATATATTCACCCCTATGTTCATAGCAGCACTATTTACAATAGCTAAGATCTGGAAATAGCCCAAGTGCCCATCAGTAGATGAGTGGATAAAAAAGCTGTGGGACATTTACACCTGAGAATACTATGCAGCTATAAATAAGAAGGAACCCTTACCTTTTGGGACAGCATGGATGGACCTGGAGAATATTATGCTAAGTGAAATAAGCCAGTCCGAGAAAGACTAATATCAAATGATCTCCCTTATATGTGGAATCTAAGGAACAAAATAAATTGATGAACAAGATAGGACCACAGACATGGAAGCATGAAACAGACTGACAGATCTCAGAGGGAAGGCGGGAAGAAGGGCAGGAAGAGATTAACCAAAGAACTTATAAGCATATATGCACAGCCCATGGACACAGACAGCAGGCAAAGGAAGAACTGGGCAGAGGTGGGAGGTGGGGGGAGAGGGGTAAAGGGGAGAAAATGATGGACATCTGAAATACTTTCAACAATAAAATAAATTTTTTTAAAAAGAAATAATGAGTAAAATCTTCCTTAACATGGCAAAAGAAAAAGACATACAAGCCCAAGAAGTACAGAGATTCCCAAATAAGATAAACCAAAAGAGCTCACATCAAGTAACATCATAAATAAAATGACAAAGGTTAAAGACAAAGAGAGAATCTTAAAAGTAGCAAGAGAAAGACAGTTACCTACAAGGGAGTTCCTAAAGACTCAGCTGATTTGTCAACAGAAACTCTGTAGGCCAGAAGGGATTGGCATCAAGTATTCAAGTGGTGGAAATTAGTGCTCTAAAACCAAGACTCCTTTACTCAGCAAGGTTATCATTTAGCATCAAAAGCAGATAAAGATCTTTCAAGACAAGTAAAAGATAAAAAAGCTCATCACTGCCAAACCAGTTTGCATCATTTGATGCTCTTGTGGTGAAAAGTTATATGGAAATATCTCTGTTAGATACCATGGAAAAGAAAAAAGAGGAAAGAAATTTAAAATAAATATCAAATATATTCACACTCAAATGTAAGTGGTACCAAGAAACAAAATATTAATAAAAAACTTTATTTTGAAGTAGTGCTTCAAATCTATAAATTCATGTTCACAGTGCACTCACATACTGCCTTAAATTGTCACAAGCCTTTTGTGATTGTTCATGACACACATACCTGGATCTGGACTTCAATGTCTACCCAACCCTCAATATAATGTAAATTTTATAAGTGTGAAATTAAGTTAAATGAGTTATGTCTTATAAGAGTTATAAGTATTTTTTTCTAATAAATATTTGTTTTTTTTCAAACCACAAAAAAATAAAGGGACTTCTTAAGAGATGAAGTGGGAAAATGTTATGAATATGAATAACAAAATGGCAATAACTACATAGCTATTAATAATCACTTTAAATGTAAATGCATTAAATGCTCCAGTTAAAAAACATGAGGTAGCTAAATGAATAAAAAGACAAGACCCATACACATGCTTTATACAACACACCCACCTCACATTGAAAGATGCACAGACTGAAAATAAAGGGATGGGAAAAGATATTTCATTCAAATGGAAATGAAAAAAAAACCTCCTGTAGCAATATTTATATCAGACAATATAGACTTTAAAACAAAGGCTATAACAAGAGACAAAGAATTAAATTTAATAATGATAAAGGGATCAATCCAATAAGAGGACATAACCTTTGTAAATTGGGTATTTACATACCCAATACCTAAATATAAATAGTTATTGACATAAAGGGAGAGATTGGCAGTCATACAGTAATTGTAAGGGATGTTTAAACCTCATTAACATCAATGGTAGGTCATCCAACAGAAAATCACCAAGAAATAGAGGCTTTAAATGACACATTTGACCAGATAGATTTAATGGATATTTTTAGAGCATTTTACCCTAATGCAGCAGAATATACATTATTTTCAAGTGTCTATGAAACATTTTCCAGGATAGACAACATGTTAGGCCACAAAACAGATCTCAATAAATTTAAAACATTAAAGTTGTAACAAGCATCTTCTTTGATCACAGTGGTATAAAACTAGAAATCAATTACATAAAGAACACTGAAAGCAGCCCCACCAGGGGTGGCTCAGTGGTTGAGCATCGGCCTAGGATCCTAGGCGATCAGAGTTCGATTCCCGGTCAGGGCACATGCCTGGTTGCGGGCTTGATCAATGACTCTCTCATCATTGATGTTTCTATCTCTCTCTGTTCCCCTCCTTTCCTCTCTCTGAAATCAATAAAGATATATATATTTTTAAAATCATTTAAAAAAAAAAAAAGAACACTGAAAGCAATTACATGGAGGCTAAATAACATGTTACTAAACAGTGAATATGTTAACAAAAGATTCCTTGGGAAAAATGAAAATTAGAACACAACAACCAAAAATCTATGGGACACAGTGAAAGCTGTCCAAAAAGGGAAATTCATAGCATTACAGGCCTACCTCAAGAAGCAAGAAAAATCTCAATTGACATTATAATCTTACACTTAAGACAACTAGAAATAAAACAAATCCCAAAGTGAGTAGCAGGAAGCAAATAATAGTGAAAGTAAATTAAATAGAGTAAAAAACAATCATACAAAAGATCAATGAAATCAATAACTGGTTCTTTAAAGACAGAAACAAGATTGATAAACCTTCAACCAGACTCATCAAGAGAAAAAGAGAGAGGACCCAAATAGATACAATCAGAAATACAATAGAAGTGATAACTGACACCACAGTAATACAAATGATTATAATAAATAGTAGAAATATATTTCAACAAATTGGTCAATCTTGAAGATAGATCAATTCCTAGAAACATACAGTCTTCCAAAACTGAGTCAAAAAGCAACAGAAAAACTGAACAGACCAATAACTACTAAGGAAACTGAATCGGTAATTTAAAAAAAATAAAACTCCAATAAACAAAAGACCAGATGGCAGATGGCTTCACAGGTGAATTTTAACAAACATTCAAAGAACTTACACCTATCCTTTTCAAACTAATCAAAAATATTCAAGAGGAGGGAAGACTCCCAAGCTCATTTTATGAATCCTGCATTACCCTGATTCCAAAACCAGAAAAAGACATTTAAAAAAGGAAAATTATAGGCCAACATTCCTGATGAAAGTAAACACAAAAATCCTCAAGAAAATATTAGCAAATCGAATTCAGCAATACATTAAAATGATCATGATCAAGTGGGATTTATTCCTGGGAGAAAAGGTAGTCTCAACATGCACAAATCAAATCATTTGATACATAACATAAACAAAATGAAGGATTAAAATCATATGATCATATCAATAGATGCAGAAAAAACATTTGAGAAAATTCAGCCTTTATTTATGATAAAAACTCAGCAAAATGGGAATAGAGGGAACATACCTCAACACAATAAAGACCATATATGACAAATGCACAACAAATGTTATACTTAATAGTAAATGCTAGAAGCATTTTCCTTAAGATCAGGAACAGGACAAGATGTCCACTTTCACCACTCATATTCAACATATTATTGGAAGTCTTAGCTCAAGCAATTAGACAAGAAAATAAGGTAACAAAAATCCAAGCGAGAAAGGAAGAAGTAAGACTGTCATTATTTGCAGATGGCATGATACTATATATGGAGAATCCTAAAGACCCTACTAAAACCTATTAGAATTGATAAATGAATTAAGTAGAGTAGCAGGATACAAAATTAATATCCATAAATCAGTTGCATTTTGTGTACTAATAACAAACTATCAGAAAGGGAAATTAAGAAAACAAATAAAATGCCTAAGAATAAATTAAACCAAGGAGGTAAAAGAACTGTATTTGGAAAAGTGCAACACATTGAGGAAAGAAATTGAAGAAGACACAAATAAGTGGAAGCATATAGCATGCTCATGGATCGGAAGAATTAACATCATTAAAATGTCTATACTATCCAAACCAATCTATATATTCAAACAATGCCTATCAAAATACCAATGGTATTTTTTATAGAAATAAAAAAAAAATCATCCTAAAATTTATATGCAACTACAAAAGACCCTGAATAGCCACAGCAATCCTGATAAAGAGGTTCAAAGTTGGGGTTATCATGCTACCTGATACCAAACTATACTGCAAGGCTATAATAATCAAAACAGCATGGTACTGGCATAAAAACAGACACATAGTCCAATGGAACGGAATAAAGAGCCCAAAAAGAAACCCACACCTATGAATCTATGGATTAGAAGGCAAGAATATACAATGGGGTAAACACAGTCTATTCAATAAATAGTGTTTGGAAAATTGGACAGATATGTGCAAGAAAATGTAACTAGACTATCAAATTACACCATACACAATAATAAATACAAAATTAATAAAAGACTTAAATATAAGTCATGACACTATAAAAGTCCTAGAAGAAAAAATCAACAGTAAAATCTCTGATATTTATTGTAGCAATATTTTTTCTAATATATATTCTCAAGCAAGGGAAACAAAGGAAAAAAAATAAACAAATGGGACTGCTTCGAACTAAAAAGGTTTTGCACAGCAAAGGAAACCATCAACAAAACAAAAAAGCAACCTACTGAATGGGAGAAGATATTGACTAATGATACTTCTGGTAAGGGGTTAATATCCAAAATTTACAAATAACTCATACAACTCAACACCAAAAAAAATCCAATTAAAAAGTGGGCAGAGGGCCTGAAATCTGTTAACTTGCAATAAAACACATTTGTGAACAGGATAAAAAGCATAGGTAATATCAAATGAATAAAGCAAAAGTCACTCCTACAAATTTGGAGTGCATTCAGATATATAAATTCAAATGTTCAAATTTTAACCTACTTTAGCCTGGGCCAGCTCAGTTTCCTCCAATGCATCTCATCTGTTTGTGGCCAGAAAGTAACCCTGGAGGTGGTCCCAGGTTAATATAGCTATCCATAAAGTGAATTCCACATGCAGATAATTACACCCAGAAACTGTTCTCTTAGGAATGCTTCACTCTGGCTCTCTACTCCAATTCCTAATAACCTTTCTGCCATACAAGCCAAATAGTGGAGCATTCAGACATTATTATCTGTCACCAATTCACAGCAACTTATCTCCACTGTATTCAGTGATTCTGAATCTGCTAATTCTCTTTGAAATTTTAGAAGCAAACAATAAGATAGTGGAATTTAAATTGGGATCATCAACATTAAATGATATTTATGAAGTGTTTTATGCACACATAAGATGTTTTTGTTTTTAAGCAACTCTTTAACTTGTTTCTCACAACGCTCAGTCAACAATGATGCAGAAATACAAACAAGATATAGAAATTGAAAGCAATATAGCAACTAAATGATGCTATTGGGAGATCCTGTTCCACTATGGCTCTAGCCAATAATCTAAAGAGTTTAAATCTTGCTAGGGACTCTCTTCTCATTTGTAATAGGGTTATTACCTTATAAAAACATCTATGTTAGCTGCAAGAGCTCACTGCTTTCTTTTTCCCACCAGCCCTGGTGATGGACACTCCTTCCCTATGAGTTCTATGAATGAGTCACAGAACCCACTGCTAGCAAATGAAGAGCCCTGGGATGACAATGATGATGACAACCGAGGTAGGTAGGTTCAAAAGGAAGGAATTCTCTTCTCCACCCAACAGACCAAGCACTAATAAAGACCATGTTAACATGAACAATGTTGTGTAGTGAGAAAATTGTGTCCAGAAAGATTATATAATATTTCAATCTCATAAGCGCCCTTTGGATTGAGAAAAAAATATGGCAAGATTTGTTTAGCAAATCTGAGTGGTTTAGGTAGGATTAGATGGCAGCTTGGGAAGTTCATTACAGGCTTTGTGATACCATGATTAATAACCAATCAGATAAATCAAAAAATATAATCAGCAGTGCTGTAAATTTTTGTAAACAGTTTTGCCAGTTGGTCACTCATTGTCCTTTGCTTGAGTTAATTCAATCAGTGGATAGCGTATTACCTTTCTCTACCCTGATTCATTCACAGTGATTAAATTTCTCTAAAATTTCATTCTCATTTTCTCTTAGAATAGCTTAAATACATGAAAAAATAAAAGATAGCATTACAGGCAAGGCAGAGGAGCAAAGTAAAAATGAGAGAAGAACTCTGCCCTTCCACATTTCTCCCACCAGCTTATTGGATCAACTTAAGATATTTTTGTGGAGAACTGAAAGTTAAGTTCTCATGCCATGTACCCCAGTTGCCACCTATTCTTTGTCTTCGCATAATGCTATACTTACTACTGTGCCTCCAACATTTGTTTATGTTGCTAATAACAGATTTCAGAGAGTAATTTTTGGTGGCTGATCCCAATTATGCAGTAGCTGACAGAAAATTTGGGTAATAATTTGAGGCTCATTAAAGTGGGGAACAGAGCTGGGAAACAAGCCTTTCTAAATGTTCACCCAGTTTGATTATATAGGCCCAAATTCTGTGCCTGAAAGTACAGTTTTAGAGTGAGTTATGTTAATAAGATTAAGGAAGACAAAAACAGTCCCAAAGCCATATTTACAAGAGGAAAGAGTTCTTGCCCAGCCCAAAGAACTTGTAACAAAAGAAACTCCTTTACTTTCTCCTGCTGACTCTTCATTGAAAAACTGACTATATTTTGACTTACCTTCCTTTGGCTATCAGTCTTTTTTTAACAGACATTTAGTTGTGGCAGTTACTAGTAAAGGTAATAACTTTTATTTTGGTATTAAAAGGCCAAACTAATAGAAATTAGAGTTTTATATGGTCTTAACCTAATTTAAAATATCTCCACAATGGAAAAAACTATTCATATCCGAGCCTGGTGTTGGCAAGAATACTTTACGTATAGATGTAGCACTACATTATAAAGAGGTTATTTTCTTGAGCCAGTTTTCAATTCCAGACTTGATTAAAAAATATTCAATACATAAAAAGGTATATAATTTATAATTTACAAAGTACTTTCATATACTTTTTTCATATCTTGGTCTCTCACAACTGTCAGGTTTAGTAAGCATCATTATTAATAACATTCCCATTTTATAATTGAGGAAACCGAGATTTGAAAATATTAAATAACTTATCCAACATCACATAGCAAGAAAGAGGCAGAACTTGGATTTATAGTAAGGTATCCTGGTTCCAAATCCTGTATTTTTTCCAATATAATGCTATGTCTGTCCTTTGGACAAATACATCTGAGATACAGTGTTGCAATCTGATGCCATCTTGTTGTCTGATGCATTCAACAGCTTCTTACATAAATTGTAAAATCATAGACTATAAACTGCCTTTAGCTTTAGCAAGACCATGGTGCCATCCTAGATACATGAGAGTTTTTAAAAATCCATTGAGACAGATTCCACAACCCTCCTTTATCACCCATTCCAGTAACTAACAGATTTAACAATTAGAAAACTATACTTTTCTCTAACACAAGTTCTTATGCTTCACAATTTGTTCAGTTGATTCTTTTGTTGTTATTGTTTTGTTTTGTTTTTGTTTAATTGAATTTATTGGGGTGACATTGGTTAATAAAATTATATAGGTTTCAGGTGTACAATTATATAATACATCATCTGTATATTGCATTGTGAGTTCACCATCCCATGTCCAGTCTCCATCTATCACCATTTATGTCCCCTTTTGCTCTCTGGTAATCACCATGCTGTTGTCTGAGGGTTTTTGTTTGTTTATTTTTTGCTTAATGTCTTAACCTTTTTCACCCAGCCCCACAGTCCCCCTCCCCTCTAACATTTGTCAGCCTGTACCACCCACCTATGTCTCTGGTTTTATTTTGTTCATTAAATTCCACATATAAGTGAAATCATATGGTACTTGTCCTTCTCTGATTGGCTTTTTTCACTTAGCATAATAATCTCCAGGTCCATCTATGTTGTCACAAAGGGTAAGCATTTCTTTTTTCTGTTACAGCTGCATAGTATTCCACGGTGTAAATGTACCATAGCTTTTTTATCCACTCACCTATTGATGGGCACTTGGGTTGCTTCCAAATCTTGGCTATTATAAACAATGCTGCAATGAACATAGGGGTACATATATACTTAAGTATCCCCCATTTTCTGTGCATAACTGATCATATACAAGTAGCTACTTCACTTTCAGCATCTTAGATTCCTGAGAAAAATGCTATAAGTTACAACTGGATTTGTTGAACTTAATTTCTTTTAGGAATGATATCAGGGTTTGATTCTTAGCCCAAAGTATAATAGGTTACTACATTGTAGGTTACTACAGTGATGTACCTGTAAATTGTGTAATGAAATATATTCTAAAATGTATCTAAATTGATACAATATGGTAAAGGAGTAACTTTTTAAAAAAAATATAATGCCACTGTCAGGAAATATATAAAGTCTTTGTGTTCTCTGAAATCCCTGCCTTATTTTAGCACAGCAATACACCAGCTAAAGAAACACATTTATGAAGGCAAGAGATTGTTTTTATTAAATTTATTGGAGTAACATTGGTTAATTAGATTATGTAGGATTCAAGTGCACATTTCTTTTTTAGCTTTTAGTTTTTATTTAAATTTTTATTGTTGACACTGTTGCAGATGTCCCCCATTTCGCCCCCTTTGCCCATCTCCACACGATTTCTTTTAGGGGAGAACTGTTGCTATTTGGGAAGTACTCTTTTTTATTTTAATTTTGGGATGTGGGATGTAAAGCTCTATTTNCATGGTTATGTATATATCTTCATTAGCTAATCCCTTCACCTTCCTTTCTCCAATCCCCTGCAAACCCATACCCTCTGACATTGGTCAGCCTGTTACATGTAACCATGCCTCTGGTCCTATTTTGTTCCTCTATTTAGTTTGTTCGTTAGATTCCACATATAAGGGAAATCATATGGTATTTGTCTTTCTACCCCTGGCTTATTTCGCTTAGCGTAATAATCCCCAGGTCCATTGGTGTTGTAGCAAAGGGTAATAGTTCTTTCTTTTAGACAGTGGTGTAGTATTCCATTGTGTAAATGTATACAACATTTTTATCCACTCATCTACTGATGGGAACTTGGGCTGTTTCCATATCTTGGTTATTATAAATAATGCTGCTATGATCATAAGGGTGCATGTACTCTTTCGAACTGGAGTTTCAGAATTCTTAGGATATATTCCCAGTAGTGGTATTGCTGGGTCAAAAGGTAGTTCTATTTTTAATTTTTTGAGGAAACTCCAAGCTGTTTTCCATAGGGGCTGTACCAATCTGCATTCCCATCAACAGTCCAATAGCATTCCTTTTCTCCACCTCCTCCCTAGCACTTGTTGTTTGTTGGTTTATTGATAGTAGCCATTCTGACAGGTGAGAAGTGATCCCTCATTTTAGTTTTAATTTCCATCTCTCTGATGATTAGTGACATTGAGCATTTTTTTATCTGTATGTCTTTTTTGGAAAAGTGTCTATTTAGGTCCCTTGCCCATTTATTTTGGGAATGTTTGTCTTCTTGGAGTTGAATTGTATAAGTTATTTTTATATTTTGGATATTAACCCCTAATCAGATGAATTATTGGTGAATATGATCTACCATATGGTGGATTCCCTTTACATTTTGTTGATGGTGTGTTTTGATGTACAGAAGCTTTTTAGTTTGCTGTAGTCCCATTTGTTTATTTTTTCTTGTTCTTGTGTCAGTACCAGGCTAGTTTGATTTCAATGGCTTTGTATTATAACTTGATATCTGGTACTGTGATCCCTCCAACTTTGTTCTTCTTTGTCAAGATTGCCATGGCTATTCAGGGTCTTTTTTAATTCCATGTAAATTTTTGGAGTGTTTGTTCTAGATCTATAAAATATGCCATTGGTATTTTAATAGAGATCACATTGAATTTATAGATTACCTTAGGGAGTATGAACATTTTAATGATGTTAATTCTACCAATCCATGTACACAGTATATTCTTCCAGTTGTTTATATTTTCTTCTATCTGTTTTCTCAATGTCCTGTAATTTTCCTAGTACTGGTCCTTTACCTCCTTGCTTAAGTTCTGAAGTATCTTAATTTTTTGTTGCAGTGGTAAATGGGATTGGTTTTTTAGTTTCTCTTTCCGATAGTTCGTTATTGGTGTATAAAAATGCCATTTATTTCTGGGTGTTAATTTTGTATCCTGCTACATTGCTGAATTCACTTATCAAATCTAGAAATTTTTTTGGTGGATTGTTTAGGGTTTTCTATGTGCAATATCCTGTCATCTGTAAAAATTGATATTTTTATTTCCTCCTTTCCAATTTAGATACCTTTTATGTTTTCATCTTGTCTGATTGCTGTGGCTAGGACTTCCAGTACTATGTTGAATACAAGTGATGAAATCAGACATGCTTGTCTTGTTCCTGTTGTTAAGGGAAATGATTTTAGTTTTTACCCATTTAGTATGATGTTTGCTGTAGGTCTGTCATATATGGCCTTAATTATGTTGAGGTATGCTCCTTCTATTCCCACTTCGTTGAGAGTTTTTATCAGACATAGGTGGTGGTTATTGTTGGATGCTTTTTCTGAATCTATTGATATGACCATGTAATTTTTGTCCTTCATTTTATTTATTTGATGTATCACATTTATTGATATACAAATATATCAGCCTTTCATCCCC